CCCCAAAACCCCAAAACCCCAAAACCCCAAAACCCCGTTTTACATTTGAGTAATTGAACAAGAGATAATTTCTAATTTAATGTATTTTTGATTTCAAATTTCTACAACAAATTAGATAGAAATTTTTTGGCGAAATTTTAGAAAATTTAGAGGAGGTTTATTGGCCAAGATTTTTTGATGTCTCTGAAGAAGGTTAGGAGACTGGAGGGGGTGGTGATAAGTCTTGAAGAGTGAAAATATTTTTTCTATCTAAAATTCAGGTTCTCAGAGCTCAATGTTTAGTATCATTTCTAAAACTTTTTTATAGCCTTCTTCATCATTCAGATTCATCAATGGTAATTTAGATAAAATTTCCAGCAAAAGTCTTTCAAATCAGCTATTTTCTGAAGCCAGTTTCTTGAAGTTACTCATTGAAGAATTCTTTCTCTCTCTGAGCTGATTCATCAAGCTCTGGTACTCAGATTCGTGTAGGAGTCCTTCATCCATTCATTTGCCAAGAATCGTTTTTACTTTGGGTGCAGAATACGAAAGCACAATGAATTCTCAGAAAGTCTTCACTTTGTTCAGGGTGCTCTGGCCTCCAAAGATGATGGGTACAAAGCCCACAGTGAATGCTTCAGCGTAAGGCTTGATGTAATCTTCAATCTTGTTCGATTTGTAGCTACACTTAGACCCAACATACTTGAGGATGTAGTTGGCAACTCTTCTGAAGTTCCATCACATCAAAGTGTTTCTGGCGTCAGTGCGTTGGCTGCGGATTCTTTTATTCGCTCTTCGGCTGAACTCGCCAATAACTTGTTTCCAGAGAGCTTCCTCAGAAACATTTTTGTTGGCTCTTGGTCTTCCTCTTGAAGGTTGATTGTAGAGATTGTAATAGAAGTGTCTGTCAAGTCTTTCTATCAGAAAAGATGAAATCCTTAATCCAGAAAGAGAGGAAGGCCCTTTCGGACGGGATTGTGCAGCTACTTGTGAGGAAGGGGTCACATATCTAGCGATAGGAGTGAACAGCTTTGGTTGTTGAGGAAGTATATTTTCATCCTGATACGAAGGAGGAGATAAGGTTTTTGTAATACTCTGATGAATTTCTAAGAGTTGATGGTTAGAATAATGTAATGGCTCATTGTTCTTATTTTTAGAGTTTAGTTTTTGTGAATCAAAGTTATTGTCCAAAAATACTTTAGATTCATTTCTTGCTATAAGTCCTTGCATAAAGCCATCAATATCACTAGAATTCGCCAAGTTTACTCTCCCAAAAGTTCTTGTCATATCCTGACTCTGAGTGGCAGAAACAGCACGACTTATATTTTCTTGTCTAATTTGTTGTATATTTCTGATGTTATTCATTTTATTTCTTTCTATTTCACTCTCTTTAAAAGGGGTTTTGGGGTTTTGGGGTTTTGGGG